TTGGCCAGCTTTGGGGCTGCTCGACCCTCCTCGACCCTCGGCTTTAGAATCCTCCTCCTCCTCCTCCTCCTCCTCCTCCTGCTCCTGCTCCTCCTGCTCCTGCTCCTCCTCCTCCTCCTCCTCCTCCTCCTCCTCCTCCTCCTCCATTGCCTCCTCCATTGCCTCCTCCATTGCCTCCTCCTCCTCCCCCTCCTCCTCCTCCTCCTCCCCCTCCTCCTCCTCCTCCTCCTCCTCCTCCTCCCGCAGGCGAGGTCGAGGCTGTGCCCTTTTCCCTCGGCGGCCTCGGCGGCCTCGGCGCCCTCGCCGGCGCGGCCTGGACCGCCCACGGCCTCGAGCTGGTGACCCGGCGGGGGCTGCTGCTGCTGTGCCCAGGCGGCCCTGGAGGGTTTCTCCGAAGGGCTTCGGCGACCCGTCCTCCTCCTTCTCCAACTCCTCCTCCTCCTCCTCCTCCTCCTCCTCCCCTCCTCATGCTCCTCCTCCTCCTCCTCCTCCTCCTCCTCCTCCTCCTCCCCCTCCTCCAACGCCTCCCTCCTCCTCCTCCTCCTCCTACTGCTCCTCCTCCTCCTCCTCCTCCTCCTCCTCCTCCTCTCCTCCAACGCCTCCTCCTGCTCCTCTCTGCTCCTCTCCTCCTCCTCCTCCTCCTCCTCCTCCCCTCTCCTCTTCCTCCTCCCCCTCCCCTCCTCCTCCTCCTCCTCCTCCTCCCTCCTCCTCCTCCTCCTCCTCCTCCTCCTCCCTCCTCCTCCTCCTCCTCCTCCTCCTCCTCCTCCTCCTCCTCCTCCTCCTCCTCCTCCTCCTCCTCCTCCTCCTCCTCCTCCTCCTCCTCCTCCTCCTCCCCCTCCCCCTCCCCCTCCTCCTCGGGTCGCCCACGGCTCCCCGGGGCAAACCGTGCAGGCGGCCCGCCAGCCCGCCACGGCGCCTGGGCGTGCGAGGCCTCGTTCGGGAGTGGGACACATCCCAAGGGCCGACCACACAGTCGGCACCACCCAAACATACTAATATCAAGTCGGGCCTGTCCCTCTCCAGGAGGAAGATCCCCAAATAATCAAGAACTAGTATGGGGACGATTTCCTATATGTTTGACTCTTTTTGAATCTGTTTGGGCTTTTTAAAAGTTCGTTCGTTCCAAATCCGCCTGTAGGGGGACATGCCCGACCTGATACTAATACTCAGGTGAGCGTTTCTTTATTCGTGTTTGTTGCCGATTGGCGCGGGCCCCCCTCCCCCCCCTTGGAATAGATCGCGGCTGTTCGGGGCGCCTGTTTCGAGCAGGTGGAGCCTCCCCCCATAGGACGCACTGTTCCAAACAGCCGCACTAAGCAGAGGTCCAGAGCCAGACCCCCCCTCCCCCCCTTCCGCCCAATGTCGAAACGCCGAGTAAGAACACGCTCACCAACCGGCACCACCCAAACATACGAATACTCAGATGAGGAAGAGGTGCCCACACCGCTACCATTTCCCTCGCTTTCCATTTTGTATGCCTCCTGGGAGGCCCTCGTCGCCACCGCTGGATTTGCCTCGAACTTCTGGTCAGAACGCACCCCAGGGCAGGTCCGTGGAGTAATGGAGGATGACGATTAATAAATGACCTGGGGGTCGTGTTCACGCGACGGCGCCCGGGATGACGATTAGAAAAAACCGGCCGCGGGCTGGAAAACTATTATTTTTAATCGTTCTCCTCCAGTCAGAAAATTATGCAGAAATAGCAGGAAATTATTTGTTTAATCGTTCTCTCCCATTTCTTTTATTTATCGTCATCCCGCATTAGTGGTGTCGGTACCTCCTGGTTTCCCCAAAGGCTGTGCGCGCGTCGCCCCCACTGGGGCGACGCGCGTGCCGAGAGATCTTGCAGTAGAGGCTCTGCGGCGGGCGCCTCCTGGCCGTGCCGCTCGAGAAGCGATGTGTTACAATCGGAGGTGGATAGACCTCCTACAGTCGGGGCCCTGAAGAAGGAACCCTTTTCGTTGGGGAGGGGCTCCGCGTTCCTTAAGTGTTTCACAGCTTGCCTCAGGTTTTCCTTATGTTTTCGATCGGAAATCGAGGTTCAACTTCTGGGGAAAAGGGGCCTCGTTCCTTATTTAGGGTTCCATAGGTCAAGGCCCCGACTGTATCCTGACACGTCGATTGAGGAATTGGCCGTTTTCGGTTCGCGAGAGGGCGTCGCGGCCGTCATTTTTGCGGGTCCAGGTCCGTCGGTTTCGGCCCCCGGCCGTTTCCACTAAGGGGAGGTTTACTAGAGGGAGGTTTGTCCACCGCCGATACAAGACGGTTGTGCTGTACTAGTATTTCTTCGTGCGTCCCGAACAACACTTGAGCTTGATTCGAGTCTCCAGTATGTTTCGTTGCTGATGCTGCTTCGGTTTCGCGGTTCGCTCTCGTTTCCAGCGCCTCGCTCCGTGTTTTGTTCCGTTGGGCACCGGTTTCGTTAGAAGCGTTTGTTTTTAACGTTGGGCCTCGTGTCGTTTCCGCTTTAACAGCCACTTCTTTTTAAACATCGTTGCGGCCGGCAAGAACCAGCACAATCACGCACCCATGATTAACCAGTCCTAGTTCCGACGAAGATGTGTGAAATTGTAGGAAATGGAGGGGACAAGGAACACCCAGGAAATCTTGAAACATAGTGGACGCTCTGGAATTTGTTTGCATTTATTGGTGTCCCCCTTGGGGCCTTGCCTCGCTGCCGCCGCCTGGTCCACGATTCCCGGCCTCTAGAGGCCCACTTTTGGTGCGGTGTGACCTCGAACCCCCCCAAGACCTCACCACACGGTCCGTCATCGTACGGTCTTGGGACCTCGGATGCCCCAGTCGCCCGGGGCGTCCTCAGAGCACGACCCGAGTCCCAAAGCCGTGCGGGGACCCCGAATCCCCACCAACTCACCGCACGGTGTGGTCACCACCCCGTTTTCGGGGCCCACTCCTCTGTAGGTCCCCAGGGCCGTCTCCGGGCATCCTGGCGCCTTGCTGTCCTCGCATCTGGGCGCTCTGCCGCCCGGAGTGGGGCCCGGCCGGGACCTGCACCGAGATCGGGCCTCGAAACGTACTGCGCAGCACGACTTTTTGTTCGCGAGGCTTCGATTATGTTCTTGATTCTTTCGTGATGTTGCAATTTTTTAGTGCTCTGGTCGTGGCTTTTCCCGATTTGTCGCGTTTTCCTCCTGTTTCGCCATCCTCACCGGTCCGGCTCGAAACATTGCGCAGAAAGACTGGGTCTAGCGATCGTCTTCTTATTCATCGCGGTGCCGATCGGCGCGGACCCTCGCACGCACTCCCCCCTCCATGGATTAAGTCGGGCCTGTCCCTCTACAGGAGGAATATTCAAAAATAGTCAAACAGTACGCTGGTGACGATTTTGTTGACTTTGACGTTTTTTGGAGTATTGTTTGACTATTTCCCTACCTAGGCTCTGCCTAGAAGGGTTCTTACTCGGTGTGCTTAAACGGCCGGGCAGTGCAACCCGCCCCGGGCGGTTCCCCCAGTATCCGCCCCGCGGTTCCCCCAGTTACGTCCCCTTAGTTCAGCGTTGCTTATCTCATCTTAGCTTAGCTTATTTCATATTTCATCTTAGTTTTGCTTAGCTTCATCTTAGCTCAGGTTTGTCTTAGCTTAGCTTACCTTCATCTTAGCTTCGCTGAGCTTTAGCATAGCAGAGCACAGCATAGCATAGCATCGCGTAGCATAGCATAGCGCAGCACAGCATATCATAACATAGCGCAGCATCGCATACCATAGCGCAGCATAGCATAGCATAGCATAGCATGGCATAGCATGGCATCGCATAGCATAGCATAGCAACACATATCATATCATAGCATAGCGCAGCTTAGCATATCATATCATAACATATCATAGCTTAGCATCGCACAACGCATCATGCCATCGCATAGCTTAGCATAGCATAGCTTAGCATAGCGCAGCATAGCATAGCATATCATAGCATATCATAGCATAGCGCAGTTTATCATAGCATATCATAGCATATCATAGCTTAGCATCGCATAGCGCAGCATGACATCGCATAGCTTAGCATAGTATAGCATAGCGCAGCCTAGCGCAGCATAGCATAGCATATCATAACATAGCATAGCGCAGCATAGCATGGCATAGCATATCATAGCATATCATAGCAACGAATGCTGCTTTCCTAGGGGCTCCAACTTCTAGGTAGGGTCTCACTGGGGTATTTTTATACTTTGTCCCAACATCTGCCTGCAGGGGGGCATGCCCGACCTAATGGAGTAGATCTTGGTTGTTTTTGGGCGCCTGTTTCGAGCAGGTGGAGTCTTTCCCCCGTCGGACGCACTGTTACAAACAGGCGCATGAAACAGAGGTCCAGAGCCAGACCCCCCCTCCTCCCCTCCCTCCTTTCCGCTCAGTGTCAAAACGCCGAATAAGAGAAGGTTCACTACCAGTGCTCTGGTCGCGATTTTTCGCGATGCTGCAGTGTTTCGCGACGTCGCATCTCGGGGGAGAATCCCATGACGGCCCCCCTGATGACCGTCAAGAGCCGATATCAGTTCTGACGGACTGGGCAGGATGGGCCCAGGCAGGGGCCTGGGGGGCGAAGTCCTGGTGTTCGAGAACGGGCGGGGGTGCGTGAAACGTAGGGCGAAGACGCTCAGAGGAGGAAAAAGGGTACCCACATCTCTACCCCTTCCCTCGCTTCCCCCCTCCTGGGCCCTCTGGGAGGCCCTCGTCGCCACCGCTGGCTTCGCCTCGAAGTCCTGGCCAGCACGCCCCCCAGGAGAGGTCCGGGGAGCAGCGGCATCGGTACCTTTTTGGTCTCCCCAGGCACTTGCATGTTTGTCACCAGTCTTCGGGCCCGCGGGGGCACGTTCGTGCGGCGCGCGAGCCTGCCCACGTCCTCTGCAAGGGGGCCTCGTGGTCGATCGTCATCTTTTGTCGAAGCCCTGGTGCGCCGTGTGCACGCTCTGGTGACAGGGGCGCCTGTGCGAATCCCACCCCGTGCACAGCTTTCGCCAGGAGCCGGCAGGTTCGCCTGCTCCATGCGCGCGAGGGGCGCCATCGATGTGTTTCTGCCGCTTCACGCCTTGGGCATCTCCATGTTTTCCCCACTGTGCGCCGCCTGGGAGTTTGAGTGGAGCCCTTGCCACCTGAGAGTTTGGGTGTTCTACGCAACGGCGTGGTAGGCTTAGGCGTTGCAGGTGCGACTGGTCCCTGGCCAAACCAATTCTTCGGAAACTGGAACATATATACATTACCAGTGGCGGGCTGTTTGTCAGTCCCAGAACTTTTTGAGGGTCAGGGACGACGTCGGAGTGGTGTGGTGTATACTGTTTTCCCCGCTTTCCCGTGGAAAACGAAACATGTGTACACCAGGATCCCGTATACGCCAGGATCCGCTTTCTTGTGCGAATTTCAGTGCGGGGCCGTAGAACACGTCGATGTATAGAGTCCGGTCCCTTACTGTAGGAACGCGTGGTTCCCGCTTTCCTACAATTCGCTGTGCCGCTTTCGTTCGATACACTGGCATAGTTGAAATGTAGGAACTGGTGGTTCGTGATTCCCTGCATTTGTTTCTGCGCGCGCTCGGTGTCACAGGAACCACATTCGGGGAACAGTAAGACTCGAGTACGCCGGAACTCCGGAACTCGAGTCTGGCAAAACTTTTTGACGAGCGCGTTCTTCGGCGGCGAGCGAGGGAGGGAAATGAGAAGGAGAGGGCCTCCTCAGAAGGCGGCTGGACTTCCCAGATGCTCTCGAACCTGTGAGAAGTTTTCTGCGTCTTCGGTGAAGGCTAAACAAAAACTTCTCAGAAGCCCGGGGCACTTCCGAGCGTTCCGCCCCTTCTCACTTCCCCCCTCGCTCGCCGTCGACTCCTGGAATCTGACTCTCCAGTTTTCGTGGGATGTCTGCAACTGGAGCTCGCGCAAAACTTCGGACGGGGTCTCGTCCTTCTCACGAGGATCCCGTCAGGGCACCTCGAGGCCCCCGAGCACGAGCCTCACGCTTCCACGACAGATCCCCTCCCGCGCCGTTCGACTACAATACCCTGATTCCCGACGACGCGAAGAACATTGCAACATTGCAAGGAAAGCCGCGACGGGAGCCCGGGACCCCATCTTTCTGCGTCCTTTTTCGAGCCAGATCTCACCAGCCTTGAATTTATCCCTATCCCTAAGATTGACACGCCAAAAGGCGATGACAATTTTAAGGATTCGCCCTGAAAAACTAAGGGAATCCCTAAGATTGGCATCGTGATGAGGAGATGCCCAGCATAGGGATAGGGATATGTTCCAGGCTGGTAAAGATCGATCTGGGAGGGTCCCAGAGGCCCGACATCTGGGCGACCACGCCTGGCTCGAGAAAATGGAGGGCCCATGCCAAGAAACCCTGCCTGCCTCCAGGATGCCCTAGGTTTAAGTCGGGCCTGTCCCCCTACAGGTGGATTTTCGACGAGAAAAAAAATACCCCAAAAATACACCAAAAAGGTAAACAAATGGTCAAAAAATAGTCCCCAGACTATTTGTTTGAGTATTTTTTGATTATTTTGGGGGTATCTTTTATTTTTCGTCGAAAATCCCCCTGTAGGGGGACACGCCCGACTTAACCCTAGGTTTCTCTTGGGTTCCGATGGTTCTGCTGTGGAAGGCGCAGTGTCCCCGCACCGAACATCAATGGACGCACACGAATCGATTTCTTGTGGAAGGTCTCTTGTGGTCGAGCCCCTACCCCAGACATGCGACCCCCTCCCCGGGACCGGTTCTTCGTCCCGAGCCGTTTTTTGACGCTCCCGAGGCCCGGCGAGGGCCCCCCGAGGCCGAAATTGGCCAGAAACCTCCCGCCCCGATTTTTGTTTTTACGACGCCACCGAACGAGTGTGCAAGGGGGGTCAAGGCAAATAGGGTTTTCTAACGCTCTCAGGAGTGATCCGCCGTTGCGTGCGGATGCCGTGAGTAAAGCTCGCTCCTCTAAACTCCTGGAGCCAAACACCTCCCGTTCCTTCTTCTTCTTCTTCTTCTTCTTCTTCTTTTTTCTGCTTTTACGGCGCCATCATGTCTGGGACTGTACATCTCACCACCCACCAAACCGCCCCAACCCAACCCGAAGGCTCAGATTTACCCTCGATTTCCAGTTGGGGGGGGGTCGGGAAACATGGAAAAAACACATGTGGAACCCTCACCCCCCCCAACCCGAAATTCGGGTCTTCGGGTTGGGTTGGGGTGGTCTGGTAGGCAGTCAACATCGCCGCGGGGGCCCCGCCTTGCCCTCTGGGCGCCGCGAGGCCTCTCCGGCGCGGCCGCTGCCGGTCCCCGCGGGGGCGGAGGCGCTGGCGGCCGCGGTGGGCGTGCTCGGCGGGCCCGCGCCGAGGCGCGTCGCCGCGCTGCTGCTCGACAGCCTGCCTGGCACCGCGGCGCTCCTGGAGGACTTAGTAGCCACGCGCAGAGGGGGGTGGTCGGGGGAGCGTAAGACCCGGGTTTGCCAGGACTCGGGTTCGCCATCGTTTTTTGGCGACCGCGCCTCGGATTTTGACGAGGAGGAGTTTCGTGGGATGTCTGCAGCGGGAGGCCTCGTCAAAATGCAGGCTCGGCCTCGCCATTTTTTTGACGACCTCATCGGGGATTTCCGAGTCCCCTGTACCCGGGTCTTACGCCCCCTTGAGGTGGGGGGAGGGGGGAGGGCTTCTTAGAAGCACCCCTGCTTCTCAGAAGGCGCGGGCCTTACAGTATAGATGTGAGGCCGGCGCCTTCGAAGAAGCAGCCTCCTCCTAAGAAGCCCTCCCCCCTCCCTCCACCCCCTAGTGCGCGCCGCCAAAGGACGGCGGGAGCCAGGCCCCCCAAATGCTGCGCTGCGGGCCGCAGCAAAGATCGGGGCGGGAGGTTTCTGGCCAGTTTCGGCCTCGGGCGGCCCTCGCCGGGCCTCGGGAGCGTCAGAAAGCGGCTCGCGACGAAGAACCGGTCCCGGGGACAGGGTCCGGACTTCACCGACCCCGATTCGAAAGATCAGGACGTCTCATGTCTGGGGACGGAGCCCTTCTCGTCCGGGGGGAGCTCCGTGATCCTCAGTTGTGACCGTTTGTCTAGGGTTGTCCCTGGGTTTTCGATGGGAAATCGAAGTTCCACTTATGGGAAAAAAGGGAGCCTCGTTCCTTATATAGGATTCCTTACGACAGCGTTTCGATTGTAGGCCTCCCAGGGTGGGGTCGGAGCAGATGGGGTCGGAGGATGGCGCCGCATCGCCGATGCATCAGTGATGCGGTTCGATGCGAAGCCCGATGGCGCCGCATCCTGGCACCGCGGCCCTCCTGGAGGATGGCGGGATCCAGGCCCCCCCAAAAGTCCAGGCCTCCCAGATTCGAAGAAGAGAGCACGGCGTAAACGTACATGTTCGGAGCTCCGCGCGGAGCACAGTTTATGCTTATGCAGCTGTTTTTCGCTCTTCTATAGATGGGGTCGGAGGATCGCGCCGCATCGCCACTGCCTCGGCGATGCGGCTGGCCCGAGGTTGTCCACCCCGACGTTGCAGATGCGCCCAGGGCGTGACGCATCAGCGATGCGGCGCGATCCTCCGATCCCATCTACTCTGGCCCCACCTATAAAACGACGCGAAGATCGGGACAAACTCGGATCGGGATAACTCGAAATCTCTGAGAGTCGGCGGGTTTGGAGGCTGTATTGGGAGCCGCGGCCGCTCCAGAGCGTTCCGGAGCGCTCTGAGAGCGCTCGGGAACGCTCCGGAGTGATTCATCCCGATCCTAGCCCTGTTTTACAAGGACATCGAGCATGGAGGAGGAGGAGGAGGAGGAGGAGGAGGAGGAGGAGGAGGATGGAGGAGGAGGAGGAGGAGGAGGAGGAGGAGGAGGAGGAGGACGAGGAGGATGTCTCTAGGAGTATTCCGCGGGGGACACAGTGCCGATCGGGTCGGCCCGCTCGCTCTGCTTCCAGCCACCATGCCGAGGCCCAGGCCGCGAGGCCTGGGCCTCGGTGGCGAGCCCTGGTGGTGCTGGGCCATCGGCTTCGTCGCCGTCGTTCTCGTCGTCGTCGTCGTGTTCGTCGTCGTGGTCGTCGTCGTCGTTCTCGTTCTCGTCGTCGTCGTCGTCGTTCTCGTCGTCGTCGTCGTCGTCGTCGTTCTGGTCGTCGTCGTCGTCGTTGCCGTCGCCGCCGTCGTCCTGGTCGACCATCGAGACCTTCTCCTGCAGGATGGCCCCGACGGCTGGATGCCGCTTGGGCAGGTCCACCGGGCCTCGTCGCACCACGACAGCCTCTCCTCCACCTCCTGCCCAGCCTCCCCCCTCCTCCCCAGCCTCCCCTCCCCTCTCCTCGCTTTCCTCCCTGCTCTCGCCCCCCTCCTCCTCTCCTCTGCTCCTCGTCCCTCTCCCTCTCTGCCTCCTTCTCCTTCTCCTCCCCCTTCCCCCTCCCTCCTTTCTTCTCCTCCCTTTTCCCCGTCCCCCCTCCGCCTCTTCGTCCCTCCCCCCCTGCTGCTCTTCGTCTTCTCCCCCCCCCCCGTCCAGGTCCACTTGGCCCCGGAGCACCGCCACGGCCTCGCCTTCTCTGGGGAGGAGCTCGTCGCTGTGTCTCGGGGCGGGGAGGTCATCCGCAAGCACGTGCGGGACGGGTCGCTGATCACCCACCCCGCGCCCGGAGGCCAGGAGTTAGAGGGTGTTCTTCTCTCGCCCTCTGGGCTAGAACGCGCGTTATGCTCCCGATCCTTCCTCCCCCTCCCCCTGATCCATACCCCGGTGAACTGGTCCATACCCCGGTGAACTGGTCCATTTCCCAGGTGCCACCTGCGAATGGTCCACTTTGCGGGCGCAATTGTTGCGAATGTTTCGAGTGGGATCATCCTGGAAAGGTCTGCGGACCAACCTGGGCTTCTGTCCAACGATTCCCTTCCACCGAAAGTCAGCGGGGAATCTATCAGTCCGTGCACGTAGTAGTAGTAGTAGTAGTAGTAGTAGTAGTAGTAGTAGTAGTAGTAGTAGTAGTAGTAGTAGTAGTAGTAGTAGTAGTAGTAGTAGTAGTAGTAGTAGTAGTAGTAGTCGTAG